AAATAATCAGTAAAAGCAGAATGAGAAGAATGCTGCTATTTAAACTAAACTGGTGAATGCAACTTGCATTCAACACCCATTTGATTTCCATCCAGGCATTTATTGCCAGAAAATGGCAAATTAACCAATTGGTCTCAGAAATGTTTTAAAGATTTAAGGGCTGAGATTTCTATTACCTTCTAACAAGGTTATCTCTTCAAATCTCCTTCAAATGGTTTCACGGTGTTGACTCCCTGTTAAACAAAGGCATATTAAGCAAAACCAGCTTAGATCTCCTAGTTCTCTTATTTTTTCATTCTGGAGTCCTGCATCTAAACTCAGTCTCTTCTCAGCTATCTCTTGAACCTCAACTCCCAATTAAGAGTTTTTCAATGAACTCAGGCTTATCAATATTTTTTTTTCATAAAAACCAAAAGAACTATGGATGCTGTAAATCAGGAACAAAAACAAAGTTGCTGGAAAAGCTCAGCAGGTCTGGCAGCATCTGTGAAGGGAAAAAACAGAGTTAACGTTTCGGGTCCGGTGACCCTGCCTCAGCTCTGCTTACAAGATTGCTTACAACCATCAATAAAGACTTCCAAAAAGATCTGGTACTAATCATTGAAACAGTTATTGGAACTTGCAAATCACAACTCTTACCTTCTTGCTAATTTATCCCTTAACTATATCTAGACACGTGTGCGTAGGGGTTTACAATCAAATAAGGTTGGCTTTAAACTACAGATCTTAATTATATTACTTTGTTCACTTTGCTCTGCTAAAGTTATAGTTTCACAATAAATGGTTAATTTCTGCTTAACTTATAACCTTGGTATTAGATATGTTTTCTTAAAGTCTGGTTATGAACAATTGGGCAATATTTTAATTTGAAAAATTTAACTCTATTACAAACCCTGCGTTAATGTGTCTGATTTGGTCTTGTTTGCTCTACTTGTGTCTTAACAACTCTGCATTAAATAAACATTTCCTCTTGTCAGCTTGTTCAAAACTAAAAAACAAAGTGCTTGTAGATAGAGCCACACTCGGGGACCTACTCATCCACTTCTGGTTGAACTTTTCTCATTTACAATTTATCTCCCAGGTGACTTGGTTATGAGACAATTTATTGGAGGCAAGCTGCTTTTTACCAGAAATGCTTCAGAGAAATCTAGTCCTTGAAAAGTACATCACCCAATTATATAAAGCAGATATTTTGCCTGGGAAGCACGTGGGCCACCACACAATGCAGAGACAAGTGCATTATGTAGTTGGGCATTTTAAGACGTCCTTTCAGATAAGTACTGTCCTAAGTACTGTCTGCTTTCTCATGTGACATAGAACACTTCTCAAAAAGGTGCAGGAAAGTTATTTCAATGTCCTGTATTGTGATCACATAAAACTAAGCAATACTGGACAAGTTATATGCTAAGTTGATTCCTGGTTGGATAGATCATAAGTTTAATTTTTGCCATTGGTTACCCTAGTGATTATGAACGCTTTAATCCAACAATATACAGTAGCAGCGTGTACTCCTTAAATTTTATCCATTATTAACTCCTCTCAAAAACAATCATCGCCAGCATCAGCGACTGACTTGTTCTGGTTTCTCTCTCAATATCTTCATTGGCTCACCTCCTTGATTACAAGCAGAAATAGCTCTCCCTTTGAAATAAAATACTCAGAACCTCTACTTGTCTTACTTTTTAAAAATCAATTGTGGGGAAAAAAATTCTTGATTGTTCCTAGTCATCTCTCTCTTTGTAGTAGATTCCAAGCGAACATAGCTTATATGTACTACAGTCACAGTTTTAATATTTACTTTCCTGATGCTCCTTTTTCTCAGGATTCCTTAGCTGTCCCTATTACTACAAAGTGTCTCCCAATTGCCTTCTAACAACTGGTTTTCATACATCCAGATTTATTACAAGGGAAGAATGTTATTTTCTTTATATCTCTTGTAGGTTTAACCTTTCTCCGTGATTATTTAACTGTTAATATTATTGCTCTTTTCATCTCTTCTTTCCAACTTCAGTTCTCATTTCTTTCTCTCTCTTTTACCTCAAACATACATTTCCTTTGTTCCTTACTAAACGTTAGTTAATTTTTGGCACAGTCAATATCAGATTCGCTCAGTCAACTGGATAGTTGGTTTGTCAGGCAGAGAGACACCAACAGCTCGAGTTCAAATTCCCACACCACCTGAGGTGACCATGAAGGTTGCTCCTTCTCAACCTTTCCCCTCGCCTAAGGCATGGAGACCCTCAGGTTAAACCACCACCTCTATAGAGAGCAGCCCAATGGTCTGGTTAGACAATGGCAACTTTTACATTCTGGGTAATACTTAAGCATCTCATCTTTTCAGCATCTTGCTTTTATTTCCACCTCCAATTCATCTGCTAACTCTCACTTTAGTTTTTGTCACAGATTTCAAATAATTCACTCCTGTGCTTTCTATTCCTGGAAAATTCAAAGCAAAATTCAAAGTCACATTGGCAGTCCAACCTATCTAATATACTTCAAAACAACATTCCTGTTTTATGTCCATCATGCCTTAACTTCACTGAATTCCTATCCCACTAAGGGACCCCAATTTATGATCACAGCTGATGGCAAAACTGGACAAGCGAGATCCCAGAGTGAAATGTGGCTTGACAGGTCAGACGTTAATGCTTATAGTTGTTTAGCTTGATGGTTATTCATTGAACATACGCTCAAGGTGTCAATCGTTTCAAATTAAAAAATACACATGCATTGCTCAAAGGGAACAAAAACGTTCTATACATACCCATTTTAAAATAATGGGCAAGTAATATCCCTTTAAGACATTCAACCCCACTAAAGTGCCATTTCTATGTTAACTCTTAATTGCGTACTTGACTGACCCTTTCCAGCTTTGATGTCTTAGAGAATTCCTTCTGATTTCTGATGGCTCAGAAACTTTTTCCAGTTTCTGACAGTCTAACAACTTGCACTGATTCTCAAACCTTGGAAATTTCATAAACTAACTCACCCTTCTACTAATAGAAAACTCTTCTTCTGAACTGAACTCAAATTACTAGACGCCCTGATCTATACTCCAGGATGTCACAGAAGTACAACTTTGTAAATACTTCAATCAAATTCACAGGTATTTGATTGAGGCATTTCAGTCAAATTGCATGTTTTCTTTGAAATAATAAAGTTAGCTCGCTGCTCCATTTAACTTGCTAACCTTTTTAAAATATATTACCTTCACCGAACTGAAACCACAAATTTATTTTACTTCGACTTTAAAAATGAACATTCTAAATGATTAATGCATTAGACATCTTTATTACACCTATCCAACATTTATCCCTCAATCAACATCACCAAAGCTGAATCTCATCATTATCACATTACAGCCACGTTCCACGAACAGCTAAGTACAATGATTGCCGTGTTTTATGCAGCAATATCTATACTTCAGAAAGTCTTTGGCTGTAAAATGCTCTGAGGCATCCTGAAATAATCATGAATGAGGCACTATAAATCTAAGTTGTCTCTACTTCATATGAACAAATTCTTTAAATCTTGGATGCAGGATTCTACGAGGAGAAACACCAAGTTTACGCTAATTGTAAATTAAATTCTCACCACAATTACCATACATTTAATTTTAAACAGCAGTTGTAGTTTCTGCTGTTAATTTCCTTGCACAGAATTTTTTTTGATCCTAGATGGAGCTTCCTTAATCAATTAGATAATTCTAAGCGACCACATTAATTCAAATTTCTTACCAGATGAAAAAGCTGTTTGTTTGGTTACATTTGCCTAATAGACATGCTTATCTGGTTACCTGTTAACCGAATAATTACTGTAAACAACCACTGAATTCAATCCACTGGGATTTATGCCTGCATAAACATATTCAGACATGGCAGATCTCACTTTATCAATGACATTTACAAAAGTAATTTTGAATTAGTCTCAAAAGCCTTACATATACTTAACATAACACGCTGCAAAGTATAGTAAAACAGTTTAATTCAATTTTTAAAATTGCACATAATATGATTGTTCATCCTTGATTCACACCATTGTTAAAAGGGAAGATTACAGGGAAAGGTACAGCTTTGCTATTGGAGAGAATTGGCCACTACTACAGTGAATCTGTTGAAACCACCGAAATTGCAACCCGTTTATCTAAAGTATCGCCACACATCCATAGTGTTCTTAGTAGCAGAATGCCTAACAGTTAAAGACAAAAAAAAACTTTCAAAGATAGTGCCATATAAACACCTGAAAAAAATCCAAAGTTTCAGTAAAAAAATTGAAGAATATACCGACAAAAGTTTTCCCCCTTTTTAAAGTTCTAATACAACTGCACATGCACCCTAGCAAATATCACGCGCAAATTGTAAAAGGAATGGACACTATTCAACATAGATTTCTACATTTCAAAACAATGTGCTGATGTCGAAAAAGAAAATCTTTTCCCTCTCAGACAAAGCAGGACCACTTAGCACGGGCCACACAAAGTCACTATCGCGATATCAAAAGCCCTATGTAAAGTTCCACCTTGTGTCATTTCAGAGATAAATAACTGCAAAGCTACAAAAGATTCAGTGCCCTCCCGCCACTTAGTCAATATTTTGAATTTGTTAGAAGATGCAGCCAGCAAAACGTTTCACACCTCAGAGGGGTTATTAATGCAAGTGCGCGGATTCAAACTTAAATGCAAGAAGAGGGGGGAGGGGGGTGCAGCTTTCCCACTCGACACCGAAGGCCTTGCATGTGTGTGTGTTTGTTTGTATGTGTGTGTGTGTGTGCCTCTCAATGCCTGACAAGTGACCACCCCCCACCCCCTCTTCTCTTTCTCTCCGGCAGACCACTCGCCTCAATGCGCACCCCCTCTGTATCTCCATGTCTCGGTTTGATCATTGTTTCATGTTATTCTCCCCTCTCCCCACAACCCAACCACCCCCAACTCCCGGCAGGTAACAGGATAACGGCGCGCCCGGTGGTTGGAAAAGTGAAGGCGGCGGACTTGGAAGACCTACCGTGCGCAGTGAGCCTGTGCATCTGGAGGCGCAGAGATCCTCCTGCTCTCTCCGCTCCGCCATGTTGGTGGCACCAACCTCAGAATGTCACGCACGGCAGCGCATGCTACGGCGTCACGCTCAACGCCTGCCACGTCAGACGCACAACGGGACTCAGGCGGGTCGTCACGACGTCACCGTGGGAGGACCGAGCCCTGATCTGTACCAGGGAGAGATGGGGTTTGGGGGAGGGAAGGGGAGAGGGGGATTCAGATCTCGCGAGAATTCAGCTTGCTTTTTCCCGCCTTTTCAATAGGCCTCTGGCATGTTCTAATCTCTCATCCACCTACATTTAAAGCCAGGGTCCACCAGGGCTCCTGGACACCTGTCTCTATTAACAGTTCTGCAAGCTACTGTCATTGCACCACCTGTCCATTCCTGACATTATCCACCCATCTAGTCCTGTTCTTTGCTTATATTACACCTTCAATCACCTCCAACGCATTAATATCACCATGTACGAAGTAGTATTTATGCTTTATCAATCTCCACTTCTTCACACCAGCTAAAAGCCTGCAACTCTGATTGGAGACATTCACGGGTTCTTTATCTATCTAGCTGATTCTAAGGGCACTTCACCAGGGCCAGGTTTCAACAGCTGTAATTCTTTTTAACTGCAGACTCAGATCCCACACCCATATGGTGTGATGCACACCAGGGATCTTGCAAGTCATCAAGTGATAAACTTCCACCCAATTTCATTCAGCTAACAAGTTATGGAGTGGATGGTTGCTAGTCTTGATTTTAATGTTGCTATCCCCCTTCGTGACCACATTCAATCCCAGAAACTGAAATGAACAACATTCACAAAACAGCAGCCTGATTTACCACATTGCTTTCACTATGAATTGTCATTAAGTATGTAGCTGTTGATGTCAAATCCAAAGTTTGGACTTGACTTTCTTAGCTTTTTGGACATCTTGTATATTTCTTGCTTTTCTTCAGCAATTAGGGCAGTGCCATGAGCATATCTGATGTTCCGGATGTTGAAACCACTCCTACTGGCGCCAAGATTCTTTTGGGGGGAAAAATTATAACAAGAACTTACGGTTGTTTCAGGAGAGCTTAATTATCCAGCCATACAATGTAAAAATTATTCAAGTGCATGGAAGGAAAATTGCTATAGTGGACATTTTATCGAGAGCACATATGAAGGAAAGTGTATGCTATTATTCAAATTGATTTATGTAAAATAAGATCACTATGGAATTCCTTGTATCATTCATAGTGTGGCACATAAATAAGGATGAAAAGTATTCTTGTTGGGTGATGAAAGTGCTTCTGAAAGAAACATTTTTATTCTTTGGAGGAGGTGTGATGGTAGGTGTGCGAATTATGCATGTTAATATCAACTTATGAGTTTGGATTTTGAACTAGTGGCATATGAGTATTGATGTATTTTTGTGAAGTGATTTAATAATTAACAATATCTTTCTGGAGCCACAATTTTAAATTTGAATGTACCAAAGAGGCAGATGGCTGAAGGCTTCCTGAAGCATGAATAAAACTATGTTTATATTGTGGATTTTTACAAGAAGCAAGAAAAATACTGTCAGCCTGTTTTGGGTTTTAGAATAATCGAGGATTGATCTTAATTTGGAATAACCCAGATATTGGAAAGCATTTTGACAGCTTGAAGAAGACCTGACTACAGACAAATGCAACAATTTTTTCTCCTGGAAAAGGAGATTGTTCAGAGCAGTTAAGGAAATATGTTGCCTCAATGAAACAGTGTAGTTTATGAAAGCATCCAAACCAGGAGTGTTTGGTTAGAAATCTGCTCAGTGAACACCAGAAAAGTCTTGAGTTCTCAGTTGTGTAAGGATTCAAGGAAACAGCTTCACAGCTCACAGGGCAGAAACTGAGAAAAATGACGGTTTAGTCAAACCTACAGATCTAATAGGAAGAGAAATTTCTCTGGTTTCTAAGTGCCTGTAGAGAGACAGTATTGGGGAGTAAACAGGATTTTGTTTTCCTGTGGGTTTTGAAATCTTTCAAATAATATATAAGTATATGTAAGTTATTTCAGATTTCAAATGTGGGCATTGGAATTAATAATGGGAAGATGAAAAATAAAAACAGCATCATATTATTGCATATATTTCACACCGGATAGACAAGCTATCTTTAAAACATTTACATGAAATCACAACATGTTTTATTCCTGTTTAAAGATACCTGCCCCACCTGCAGTCCCATTTATAGCGCAATGGAGTCAATATGTTGTATTTGGTTTGCAGTTATGTATATGTAATGCACAGTAACATCAATAGGTATAGAAACCAAACGACGTGTTATTCTATGATAATAAAGCAATGTAAATATTGCTTTTAATAAACTTCAAGACATCGGTCTCAACCAGAACTTAGTCTTTGCAGTATGTGATATGACAGCTAACATATAGGACAGCAGTCAGATTGTATTATGCTGAATTTGGTGTTTGACCCAAAAAATCATATCATGGTGGCAGCAAGTGGACATTAAGTGCAAGGGTGACAATGAGCTGATACTAAAGCCTGAAAGGGTAATACAACCAATGACAGTTACAACGCATTATTTTCTGAAAAGCTGTTCTTCATCATCCACCTGATTTCAAAGCTGAAGTTACAAGTACAACTAAGACTAAAGTACTACAACCTGGAAAAGAAACATTTATGAGTCATCTCTTTCTCTTTAAAAACAATGGGAGACCACAACTCCAATCAGGTTCAAAAATGTGCATTTTACCGGGTGCTGAGGAACATTTCCAACCTACAAACGCATTCCTAGAGCAAAATACATAAGAAAACACAAAGAAGATTTTAGCCAATGAAAAGGTCTCACCTCTGTAATGATATCGGCTGATTCCTCCATCTCTGTTTAGAAAGTAGTGTGCCAATTAAAAAACGATAAAGTCATCACGTCTCCTTCTTGCTGTGACTGCTACCTACAAGCTCAAGCCTGCCACTTTTAGAGCAGCCACAACAGTGAAAGAAAAGAAGTAACAAAAAGAAACAAACTATACTGCAACACAGATACTTACACTAACATTTTTAAAGAGCACAACAATGATAGGTAGCAAACATTTGAGCATGGATTGGCACTCCATTGACATTCTTTAAGAACTTCAGTTCTTTAAAGAAAGAATCAATCTTTACTTCGTTGATCAACAAATAACTGACAAAGAAAGATTGACAATCAAATATTTTATTTCTTTGGGAGACAAAGGACCAAGAAGCATCAAATCCTCCAGTACTTTTAACGATAACCACAAAGATCCTGACAATTTTCCAGATTTTAGAATATGAACTTAAATGTTTGAGTCAACTTTCAGAATATAAAGGCATGAGTTTATGTTATACCCACCTGGTTCACTAATGTCCTTTACGGAAAGAAACTGCCATCCTTATCTGGTCTGGCCTACAAGTGACTCCAGACCCGTAGCAATGTGGTTGACTCTGAACTGCCCTCTGGACAATTAGGGATGGACAATAAACGCTGCCTAGTCAGCGACGTCCTCATCCCATTAATGAATAAAGAAACAAAAACAACAGCCAAGTCAAATAGACAACAAATTTATAGGCAGGTATCAAGATATGATTTCACCGAAACTGACTTAACTGAAATGTAAATTTCAAAATAGCTCCTTGGTGTGTACACCTGAAGCCTTTTACATTGTTGCAACAGGAGGTCCACCTGTAATTATTCTATCAGCATACACGAATATAAGAACTAATACAACCCACAAGGTAACAAACCTGTCAGTTGCAACCCCAAGATTCCGCACTACTATATTGTGTTTATCCATGACATGTCTACAATTTACTCAGACACCTTTGATGCTATTACCAACTTTAAAGGCAATGTAGTATTACATCTGAAAGATGATAGCAATCAATCATCAAACCTTCTTGTAAGTGGAGCATTCACATTCCAGAAAATCTCAAACTGGAATTGGATTCCACATTACAAAGCAACATCATCCAGACAGTTAAGCAACAATACTGACTGATGCATTTGTCAAATTTTAAAGAAAGATGGCACTGTGCATGTATGTTTAAATCGAAGGGAACTAAATATTTCTCTAAACTGATGCTTACATAAGGTTCCTATGTTGGAAGAGCTTAAACCCAAATTCCCAGGTGCTGAACATCTTTCCAAGATTGATGCGAAGGTTGGATAATGGTCCATACATCTTAACCCAGAGTCATAGTTGCTGACAACATTTAGAACAAATTTTGCCAGATATAATTTCCTCAGATTACCACTTGTGTTATCCATCAGTCAGGATATAAGCCAACAACATATGAATTTTATCATTAGGATGACATTGCAATCCTCAGAAGGACCAAATGTAAGCACAGCTCAAATTTCCATCAACACATGACAGCAGCAAGGAAACATGGACTTGTTAATTGTAAAAATGTCAAATCAACATGAGCCAAATCAATTTCTTCACTTCAATCTACTCACTAACGAGTGTTAGACTTGATCCTACCAAAAAGATCATGTACGGGAAATGCCAATACAAGATAAAGGTGATTTACAAAGAAGTCTTTGGTTCTTCAACTTTTTATCCCTGTATATTCCAAATTTTCCAAGCAAGGTACCTCCTATTCATGTTCCTCACTAAAAAAAAACATACAAATGGAAGTAAAATCACTAACATGTTTTTCAATCTCTTAAAAATGCTTAAGCATCCTATTTGTATACTTTTCAACATTATGATCCCTCAAAGATTACATGAGAAGTAGATGCATCCCAGAAAGGCACTGGACCATATTTATTCAGGACAACAATCCCATTGTACTTCTGTCAATGTCCTTACAACAGCTGATGCCAACCAGTTTAAGACTGAAAAAGAAACTCCTACAGTTCGGAATTCAATGGTTTCATATGTACCTTTTTGGTACACATTTCATTATTCAAAGTGAATACAAAACATTAGAAATACTCATAAGGAAACCTCTCACAAGTACACCTGGATGACTCCAACTATGACTTGTGAAGATCCAAGGGCACTGTTTAGAAGTTCAATACAAACCAGTTCCCAAATGATTACTTCTGATGCTCTTAGCCATCTTCCAAATCCTGCTAAGAACAAAGATATTCCTTTAGATGAACAATGAATATTATTGAATCTGCGTAGAAGGTAGTCTTAACATCAATCTCATTCATTTTGGTCACAGTGAAGCAGAGCAGACTGAACAAACTGTGTCAGATGACGACCAGCTGCAACAGCAGAAGAAGATCATCTTCATTGAATGGTGTGATCACATCTAGCAGGTTCCTGAGCTGGCAAGTTCATTCTGGTCATTCAGAGTCAAAGTAAGACTGTTTAGGAATGTAATCTTCACAGGCAAACAAGGTGTTAATTCTGCAAGCTCTACATCTAGACATTTTAGGAAATTAATACGCAGATCCCGTGGATGCAGATAAACCAAGAGATTGGTAGACGAATCCATATACTACCTGGCAGTAAAAAGGACGTGAACCCTGTTAACTCGATAAAACTCAACAATCAACAGAACCTCGCCTTCCATTGGAGATCACTTCTAAACCAGGGTACAAGTTTGCCACTGATATTTCCCATGTCCAAGGATACAATTACATTCTGTTGACTGATAAATTCAACTTCCAGCTTGTGAGACTAATCAAAGATACCATTAATGCAACAGTTATTGACACATTGACCACCATATTCAGTATGTTTATGTACCCCAACAAATTGTATTTAACAGTGGTCCTTTCAAAACTTGTGTAGGAAAATCAGGTGTTCGATATATTACATCTTCTCACTACCCTCATTCGAATGCAGAATGCACTCCTTGTTCAATAAAGTAAGAATAAAAATCCATAGTAATCTAGTGTAAAGCAACTTGCCAAGATTTTCAGATAGCTATGCTAAATCTACATGTTGCTTCTCACCAACATCTCCCATGTTTGAAAGACAGATCCACATAGTTCTTCCCACACATGATAGAAACTTGCAGTTGGTGGTGTTCAAAAATTCACAAGATAAAAGACAATAAACCAAAAGTATAACCCAATCAGGATATTTGATGAATTGTGGGCAAACCTACAAGACAGACTGGGTCATAGGAACTCATAAAGTCAAGCCTAGTAGTAGGAGATATAGAGGCATTCATAGTTAATGGGCAGCGGTAACAATGGAGCCACAGAAGTCTGCAGAATGAAACAACAAAATCTGGTGTGAGTTACTGTAACACAAGTAATGCAATGTTGAGAGAGATTGTAGAACCAAGTAAATGGAAGAAACTACCGTAGAAACCAAAGTAGCAACGATTATTTTTTTGAAAGGTTTACATTCAATTTCTTAGAACTGCTAAAGGAAAAAGGAGAAATAATGAAAAAGTCACAAATGATCCAGTCCTGATAAGTTAATGGTTTGCACTGAGGTCCATAAACAGAATGAGGAAGGATTGTATTCCCTGTACAACTTAATGTCAGTTCAAAAAGATGGAAATATTACCAAATGGATCTCCAAAATTATGCATTTTGACTGACAAGGAAGTGATACTTAATTTTTCTTTACAATTTTCAGAATTTTCCCTCAAAGTCATATTCCTTGTCAAAATAAAGCCTAAATTGCTTGTTTCTTGAACTTTCAGATGATGTATTTGAGTGAAAGCAGTTTGGTTTATTGATTTAAATTTCAGAAGATATTTGAGTTAAATAGGAGAATTTTCCATCACAAGGAATTCATTTATCTCATTCAATGGTCATGATGGATGCAGGATCTTTTAGTTATCCAACAAATTCTTATTTCAATTGTATGCAAGTCTCTTGGTGTACCTGAGCAGACAATAGCATATATATATTTCTGGTACAAATGTCTAGTTTGTTTAAGATTGAATTATTGTTACATTGTTACAAGAAAGGAGAAAAGGAAACCAATATTCAATCCCCCTACTAGCACTTAAATGTATTGACATTGGGTGAGTCATCCAGAGAATCAAAGCAAAGTACTGTTGATGCTAAATATCTGAAATACAAACAGAACGTGCTGGAGAAACTCTGCAGGTCTGGCAGCTTCTATGTAGAAAGAAACAGAATTATAATTTTGAATTCAATACGCCCTTTTTTTGGAACACCAATAATCCTGAGTAATGCTCTGGGGATTTGGGTTTGAATCCTAACACAGCAGGTGGTGACATTCAATTTCAGTTATTAAATCATGGTGACCATTACCTATTGCCATTTGTCATAAAAAGTCCTCTTGTTCACTAATGTCTTTTAGGGGAGGAAAATATGCCAACATCACCAGGTCTTCTTTACATGTGTCTCCAGACCCATATCAATGAGTCTGACTCTTAAATGCCCTCTGAAATGGACTAGCTGAATGGACCATCTGGCATCAATTAAGGCACAGTAGATAATAAAGGCCCACACAACTTTGCAAAATCTATTTGACAATGACCAGATGCTTGTGCCACAATTGAGAGCACTGTCCAACACAGTAGGCAAGCAACAACCTGACATTGTCCATTTCAGTGGGTTTCAACTGATGATTGCACAATATTCAGCACCATTCATGACCCCCTAAATACTGAAGCTTTTCATGTCCAAATATACAAACACCTGGACAAAACTGATAAGTGGCAAATAACATTTATGTCATACAATTTTAAGGTAATGACCCTGTCCGACAAAAGAGAATCCACCATTTGTCCCTTGACATTCAATGCTATGATCAATGTTGAATCCTTCACTCTCAACATTCTGGGGTAACCATCAACCAGAAAATGAAGTGGACCAGCCATATATACCATAGATATAACAGCAGGTCAGAGACTGGGAATTCTGTGGTGTTTAACACAACTCCTGATTCCTCAAAGCTGTCCACTTGCCTGGATCAGTGCAGCTCTAACAACACCATCCAGGATAAAGCATTCACATGATTGTCAGCCCTTCTAATACTTTTAACATTTACTCCCTTCACCACTGATGCACTACCTCATCAAGATTCCTTAGTCAGATCCAGCCAACCTCCAGAAGAGCAGCAGGTACAATGGAACACCACCTGCAAGTCCCCTCCAAACCACACACCACCCCTGACTTGGAACTATAACACAGTTTCTTTACTGTTGTGAGATCAAGATCCCAGAACTCACTCCCTAAAAACACTGTGGGTGTATTACACCACTTACACCTGGACTACCACATGTCAAGAAGGCTACTCATCACCACCTTCTCAAGGTCAGTTAGGGATGGGCAAAAATAGCCCAGTGAGAGATGTCTACATTCATGAATGAATTAAAAAAATAGGATGGCTGCGATGTATTCAGAAATCGAATCAAACAGAAAGAACTCCTGATATCACAATTTTAACAACACAGTTCAACAACATAAATTCTTGAGGCCCTAGTAGAGATCTTCTTCTAAATGATGGTGCTATATAAAATAAAAAGTGTTGTTATTCCACAACAAGAAGTCGCAGATTTCGGGTTGAGATAATGCTCATGATATGCAGTGTTATCAATCATGCTTTTTCAGGGTCATTTAACAGATGAACATTATCATTCTATTCTGTGTGTCCTAAGAATTTAACCATGGCAGTATTGGTGAGAAATGGGAGGATACATTATCTTATAATGTCAGATATATCATACAATGTTCAGTGCAAAATATTATAATAAAGTTCTTCTCCAATGACTTAGCTATATTGTTTTCCTGTAATGATCACTTTAATGATCACCCATTCTCTTTGTCTTCCATGTTCACTCTCTCTGGATTTGAATATCAGAAATCTAAACATAAGAAAATGCCATGTTAATACCAGAGGCGCAATTAAACTGTACACTGACATAATGTGAATGAAATATGGAATTTAATTCACTAAAGACTTCCTGTGTCAGCACCAGACAGGTGAATGCACATGAAGGGTTACCAGACTCGAAACATTAACTATTCTTTCTCTCCACAAATGCTTCCTGACCAGCTGAGTTTCTCCAGCAATTTCTCTTTTAGTTTCAAATGAATGTACATGTTTGGCCACACAAAGATTAAAAAGTGAAGAGTCTAGTCTAATTTATACATTTGCAACATATTTATATAGATATACTGAGTTACGTTTATTTGACAGGTTTTTGTAAAATAAATGCTCGTCTCTTCAGATCAATAGCAGAGGTCTGCATCAAAAATATGTTTACTATCTCAATGAAATGGTAACAAACACATGACCATTTTAATGAACAAATTTATTTTTATATTCAACTAATCAAGTTATTTCAGCAGATTTTGTATGTCTTGCAAAGAGAACAAGGCAACTGAGCTTGTAAAAAGAATCCTCTTTGAACAATCAATATTGCAATCAATCATAAAAATGATCAAAAAAAACTTATCTCAGATAAATGTGTTATGAGTTGATTTTAATCATGCTTAATCAGGAGAAACTGGGTGGATTGGCAAAATGTTTGCATAAACAAGATCAAGAAGTCAGAAGGGCATATAGACAAGACAGCTCCTTTAAATCTTAGAAAATCAAACTGGAATACTATTCATAGATGGTCAAATAGGTTTTGGTATGCAGATACACTTGCAGTAAAAGCAAGTTCACAGCTTCTAAAAGGAATCAAAAAGGTTAATGAATTATTGGTCTTAATCTCAAGATGTTTTCAGGATGTGGCCTGCGAAACAGTTGCACAGAGGTGGGCAGACAACTGAAATAGTTAACGGTCAAATTAAAGGTAACTGTGCGGCATTCAGAATGGCTGCCACTGCTTGGAAAGCTGCCAGCTCCATAAAGACAAGCTCCTAGAAATGTCCCTTTGAAGGCTGAACTCCTCCAGAGGAAGCCCTGGACAGGAAAGACACCCCCTGCTGGCCCAACAATCCAACTGAAGGGTTTTCCCTTTCAATCTTGGGGCCTGCCACATTTCTGTCTCTAAAATATCTAATCATTTTTATGAGTCTAAAAGCTCCTCCACCTTGAGATTCCATCTCTGCCCCCTACATGCCGCAGCAGTGTTCACCTCTCTTGGGTAGCCTGCTATGGTTATTAGAGCTGTGGATCTTGTGATTAGGCTACAGCTTTGGGAAATGGACCACTAGTCTTAACAGGACAACAACTAGTAGGGCGCCTGTGGGAAAATAGCTTTGCCAGTCGAGCTCTCAGTTAGTGTAAGCTTGCGAGCCCCATTTGACCCTGACATTGTTTTCCCTATGCTTGCAAGAGAATCCTGCCCAGATAGACTATTTCCTTTCCTGTGAGAGTGCAGAACAAAGGAGCATAATTTTAAAATACAATGATATCAGGAAGCACTTTTTACCAAAAGTGAAGTAGGAACATACAACACTCTCCCCATTCACCAGCTCTCCACTCCTCCCCTACCCAAAAGGGGTATGCATGCCAGGTTAGCTTTCTGTCCATTCTTGGATTAATTCTTTTTTTCTTGGATAAGAGTATCAGTGGATACAGAGAACAAGTGGGGAAGTGGAGTTCAATTCGAGACCAGCAATGATCAACAGTCCCATCATTTATGGCATGTGCTTTCGGGCGAACACAATTTTCTCAAAATACTCAATGGTCATTTTCAACTGATGTGATGCCCTGGTGAAATATTTTACAGCTACGCTTTTATTACAATCACTTATGAGCTGCTCAAAATCAATACAAATTTCTTGGTTAATTATTTTTGTTTTTACAAAAATCTATTTCAAAACCATTTTGGATGAAGTGATGGTTGCTCAGTCCCAATCTATTACAGCAGTATTTCTGATTTTATAAAATTACAACTTTTTTTATTGACTATCATAATGGATTCATTATCATCAATTATACAAAATTCTTTGTAAAAACATAGAGTTTTGGGATAATAAAGCTTTTGGATGACTGATCTGCCATGATGCATTGAACAGAATAGCCTTGAATAACCGGGGGGGGGGTGCTGGTAGTTTTTTTCTTTTAGTCTGTACTTGATTTGCAGATTTTCATCTTACTTTCACTTGTATTAGTTTACAGCATCTAAGGCTAATCATCTTTTCAGTGAATCATTATGCTTGCATCTTGAGTTTCTGCCCAGAATATACAAAGCACATAAGCCTCTATAACTTGCAGCTTTGAAAATGATATTATTGCAAATGAATAACTGTTATGTGAGGCAAATCGCCTTTGATTGACATAAGCAACTGCTTGTTTTAAATTTGAACTTGTTATATCATGAAGACTGCAACAAAATGGTCAGAGAGATTCCACTGGTCCTGTTCTTATGTGGCAGATCACGTCCCTGATTGGAACTCAGCTCTTTAATGCCATCTCTGATATTAACCAAGTTACTAAGACACAAGCTTAAGGTCGGGCAGAAGCCTCAAGGATTTATGTAAATCAGTGTCTTACTAGGCCAATCAGATCCTGACAGGATTTGAACCACGGTGCCTGAGCTGTGATATGACTGCAGCTTTCCAATCAGTCTGAAGGTCAGCAGCTAGTGTGAAGAATGGAGATGAATGCTTCCACAGACAACACAACGATAATTACAGACTTCCTGCCTAGGAGATCCCCTTTCCTTCCCACCAAACCTTCTGGAAATTTCCCCTCCAATACATGCCTGGGAGCTGAAAGGGCTACTAGCTCATCCCTTATTTCATGTTCTGCATCTTCTTCCCACCTTTTAAGAATTACTATTCGAGGTGTTGGTGTCACTGGTAGGATCAGCATTTGTCTCTAGCCGCTCGAAAGGGTAAAGGTGAGCTTCCTTCTTGAAACACTGTAGTTTGTTTGGTGAAGGCACTGTAATAGAGCTGCTGAATGGGAAGATCAAGCATTTCGACTCAGCAATAGTGCAGGTACGGTGATATGTGACTTGGAAGGGAACTTGATATTTCCAAGTACCTGCTGTCCTTGTTTTCTTGGTGGTGAAAGTTCTGGCTCTGAGAAATTTTATTGAAGCAGTCTTGGAGACTTTCTGCATGCCAGGTGGATATCTGCCCACTGAATGGGATGCAGATCAAATGGACTTTGTCCTGGACAGTATTGAACTCATTGAGTGCTCATGGACCTGCACTTACCCGAGTAAGCATAGAGTATTACATTACACTGTTGCCTTGAAACTTGTTGGTTGTGGGTTTTGAGAACTCATGAGTTGAGCCACTCAACAGACACCTGCCTCTGATTTAGAGTGCAGGAAGCTGAAAGTGGAGAGAAGTGTTATTGAGAGCACAGAGATGGTTCAGGTGTTTTCCAAATTTAAATTTCATTTCACATTACACTGGTTTCACTTTATTCATATGTGTATCATCATCGTTTGTTGAGTCTAGCTTAGTCAGAAAGCTAAATGTACTAGCACGCCTCATGTTTGGCACTCATTGGTGAATGTGGGGAAGTTAGGGGCATTTCTTTATTAGAAATAAACAATGTTGTATTTTTGTGTTCTGTCTTTACTGAATGTTTTTGTCTGTGTCCAGAGCTTTGTGTTTTGCAGGACACGACTGAACTTGTAGGTTCAGCTGACCCTTGCTCTATGCAATGCAAAGAACGTTATCTGAGATCATCTTTAACAGAGATAATTGAAAAGTTGGAAGTGAATTCAAAGCCCTGTGAGGATGCTGCCAGCCAAGACCTTGAGATAGATACACATATATATATATAAGGTTTGAGTTGTAAGGAGAGGCTGGATAGGCTGGGAGATTTTCCCCTGGAGCACAGGAAGCTGAGGGGTGGACCTTGTGGATGTTTATAAAATCATGAGGGGCATAGATAAGATGAATAGCCAAAGTCTCTGGAGTCCAAAACCAGAGGGTGTAGGTATAAGGTGAGAGGGGAAAGATTTAAAAGGGACCTGAGGGACAACTTCTTCACACAGAATGTGGTGCATACATAGAACAAGCTGCCAGAAAAGGTGGTAGAAGTATGCACAACTACAACATTTAAAAGACATTTGGACAGGTACATGGATAGGAAAGGTTTAGAGGGATGTGGGCCAAATGCAGGCAAATGGGAATAGTTCACTTCAGAAAACCTGGTCAGCATGGACGAGATGGACCAAAGCGCCTATTTCAATGCTGTATACCTCTACGACTTTATGTCACTGTGTGGAAATCACCTTTTATGCCCCTATTTTCTACTTTAACTGATTGTCCTAATCACCCCTGACCAAATGCAGGACTTCAGGCCCTTCTCCCTTCTTCTCTTCCATGCCCCTGTCCCCATTTCAAGTCTTCATGCAAGTTGGAATTCTCCTGCTCCCTTCCCTTTTGCCAGAGTTCAACAAGGAAAACCATTGACTTCAGAAACAACTGCACAAGGCTAATTGTTGCACATCCCCTTTTGAACAAAGACAATTGTGGTGCCATAAGGCTCTTGCGCACCACTGACTTTATCATGAAGGCAGAGCATAATTGGAAAAGTTTTAATTTAATATAAATAGTATACGAGGACAGCATGAGTCCTGATCCTCCAGAAATGTTCTTCTGCTGAGTTAACCTCGAAACTTGTACCCACCATTATATAGTAAAATTTCACCTCTTACCTAATTAAGTCACCCCACTCACCATGTTGCTCACAATTGGAAGACCCATAAAACTTCCCCCTCAAGGTATTTCATCTATTCTTTCATCTTCTGAGTTCATGTAAGAACAACACTGAAAACTTAATAGCATTCATGGGTGGGATTAATGTGCAATACTAAATAGCAAGGGAAGCATACAATACCTTGTTTCGTGTTTTCAGAGCAGGAGGTAGACGAAGGCTCTTGAAGTTCTGTACCTCAGTGTTTGGTGGATTCACAATCTTGTCTTCATTTACTGAATAACAAATGGATGGATCTTTGCTGTTGATTGAAACTGAATCAGCGTTGCTTCTATATTCAATTTCTCTGCGTTTGTCCTTAGTAATGACTCTAAATGTGGGACTCATGTTTAAGTGAGGTACATAGTCAGGTGAGCCAGGGACAAATGAGATCTGCCCCGAAAAGAAATGTTGACCACAGATTTTAGAATGAAATGTTGGTGTCCACCCTGGATTAGTGAACCGTATAGCTCTCATCAAAGATACAGTGTGTGCTTCTGATTCTCGAATAACATTGAACCATCGTACATGATTGTCCTTGCCATGACGGTTTGGGCATCCAGGAATACAGCAGGAGCTTTCATAGGCAGCTGTACTAAGAGTAACAATCTTTTTGGCAGCAGGTTTTTTAATGGGAACCATAGCTTTAGAGTTGAGGCCGAACTTTTGACAGGGAATTCTCTGAAAGGAAGGCCTAGTTCCTGAGATGGAGAGACCATGAGGTCGGAACAGATCTCGCAGTTTGCCTTTAGAGTGTTCTTTGACTTGCTGGGCAATCACAGTTGTCTGGTCTGACATATTGTCATGAGGCATTGTGTAATGCTAGAGAAAAAGAAAATGATAACTGTCACAATGAATATATAGACAGGTCAGCACCAACAGGACCATTAATCAGTTCCAAATCATTATGATTGTAAGACACAGATTAAAGAGTGACATTTTCTGATAACCACAGCCAAAACAAAGGTACACCTGAATAATGGGATAGATTTCAACTTTGAGCAATAGCGTTAACAGGGTAATGGTAAAATGGCAGCTCACTTTACAATTCTTCTGATCTTCATTTCCAATGATGTTAAATCAAGATAGGTATAACAGGTACCAGAAACTCGTGATAACCCAATTTATACAATTGTCAAAAAGTATCCGATTTGAGTTGGTCCTATTGGATTTAAAGTCATGCTGCCCAGTAAAAGCAGGACAGTGGTCGTCTGAAACTGGTTTAGCACAATTTTATGCTGGCACTCAAGCTCCTCTATACGCAAAGGGGTTTTTCTCGGGATTGCCAGAGAGTTAGCCTATTTCAAGCAGCAAGGCCTTTTCATATGCAAATCAAAGTCGTACAAGGTATGTAGGAACAAAAACCGAAACTACTGGAAAAGCCCTTCCTAGGGTCACTCGACCTGAAACGTTAACTCTGATTTCTCACCACAGATCCCGCCAGACCTGCTGAGTTTTTCCAGCAGTTTCTTATTTACAGCATCGTCAGTTCTTTCAGTTTTTATTAAGGTATGTAGGAACTTAACTGCAGTTTTGAAGGATGTTGGGAACAATCGAGGCCATGCTTTTTTTTGTGTTACAGAGAGTTACAGCTGGAAAAGCACCTGCTAGGAGTCATCAAGTCATAGAGATGTACAGCACGGAAACAGACCTTTCGGTCCGATTCATCCATGCCAACAAGATATCCTACAGTAATCTAGTCCCACTTGCCAGCGTTGGCCCACTTCCCTCTAAACCCTACCTAGTCATATACCCGTCCAGATGCCTTTTAAATGTTGTAATTGTACCAGCCTCCGCCACTTGGTCTGGCAGCTCATTCCATACACGTACCACCCTCTGTGTGAAAAGCTACCCCTTAGGTCCCTTTTAATTCTTTCCCCTCTCGCCTTAAACCTTTGCGCTCTAGTTTTGGACTCCCCGACCCTGGGGAAAAGACCTTGACTATTCGCCCTATCCATGCCCCTCGTGATTTTATAAACCACTATAAGATCACCCCTCCGCCTCCGACACTCCAGGATTCAGCCTCTCCCTATAACTCAAACTCTGAACTGTGGGTAAGTGATGGCCTAGTGGTTTTATTGCGAGAGTATTAATCCAGAGACCCAGGTAATGTTCTAGGGACCTGGGTTCAAATCCTGCAATGGCAGATGGTGGAATTTGAATTCAATAAATATCTGGAATTAAGAGCCTAAAGATGACCATTAAACCATTGCCAACTGTCAGAATAAACCCATCTGGTTCATTAATGTCCTTCAGGGAAGGAAATCTGTCATCCTTACCTGATCTAGCCTTCAAGTGACTCCAGACCCACAGCATTGTGGTGGACTCTTAACTGCCCTCTGGGCAATTAGAGATGGGCAATAAATGCTGGTCTAGCTAGCGATGCCCACATCCTGTGAATGAATGAAGAAAGAGAAAAGAAAAAGACAAACCTCCAACCCTGGCAACATCCTTGTAAATCTTTTCAGAACCCTTTCAAGTTTCACGATGTCCTTCCTACAGCCGGGAGAACAGAATTGAATGCAGTATTGCAACCGTGGCCTAACCAGTGTCCTGTACAGATGCAACATGACCTCCCAACTCCTATACTCAATGCACTGACCAATAAAGGCAAGCATACCAAATGCCTTCTTCACTATCCTGTTTACCTGGGACTCCACCTCGAAGAAACCATGAACTTACACTCCAAGGTCTCTTTGTTCAGCAACACTCCCAGGACCATACCATAAAGTGTGTAAGTCCTGCCCTGATTTGCCTTTCCAAAATGCAGCAGCTCACATTTATCTAAATTAAACTCCATCTGCACTCTTCGGCTCATTGGCCTATCTGATCAAGGATCCATTGTACTCTGAGGTAAATTTCTTCGCTGTCCACTACACCACTAATTTTGGTGTCATCTGCAAACTTACTAACCATATCTCCTGCGTTCACATCCAAATTATTTATATAAATGACAAAAAGCAGTGGACCCAGCACTGATCCTTGTGGCACACTGCTGGTCATAGGCCTCCAGTCCAAAAAGTAACCCTTCAACACTACCCTCTCTCTTCTACCTTCAAGCCAGTTCTGTATTCAAATGGCTAGTTTGGCTTGGATGCCATGTGATCTAACCTTGCTAACCAGTCTACCATGAGGAACATTGTCGGACACCTTACTGAAGTCCATAAAGATCACATTCACTGCTCTGTCTTCATTACTTCTCTTCGTTACTTGTTCAAAAAACTCAACTAAGTTAGTGAAACACGATTTCCCATGCACAAAGCTACATTGACTATCACTAATCAGTCCTTGTCTTTCCAAATCCTGTCCCTCAGCATCCCCTCCAACAATTTGCCCACCACTGACGTCAGACTAACTGGCCTATAGTTCCCTAGCTTTCCCATACCAACTTTCTTAAATAATGGCACCACATTAGTCAACCTCCAGTCTTCCGGCACCTCACCTGTGACTATCGATGATACAAATATCTCAGCAAGGGGCCCAGAAATCGCTTCCCTAGCTTCCCATGGAGATCTGGGGAACACCTAATCATATCCTGGGTTTTTATCCACTTTTATGCGATTTAAGATGTCCAGCACCTCCTCCTCTGTAATAAGGACCTTTCTCCCCAAGTTCTCTGTCTTCCATATCCTTCTCCACAGTAAACATTGATGCAAAATACTTGTTTAGTATCTCCCCCATCTCCTTCGGTTCCACACATCGGCAGCCTTGTCCTTCAAGGGACGCTACTGACTCCCCAGTTACTCTTTTTCCTTAATGCATTTGTAGAATCTCTTTGGATTTTCCTCAACCCTATTTGCCAAAACTATCTCTTGTCCCCCTTTTGCCCTCCTGATTTGCCTCTTAAGTATACTCCTAATGGCTTTATACTCTTCGAGAGATTTACTCGATCCCTGCTGTCTATACCTAACATATGCTTCCTTCTTTTTCTTGACTAAAACCTCAATTTTTCTAGTCATCCAGCATTCCCTACATCTACCAGCCTGGTCTCTCACCCTAACGGGAACATACTGTCTCTTGTCTCTCACTATCTCATTTATGAAGGCTCCCCATTTTCCAGCCATTCCTTTACCTCTGAATATCTGCCCCCAATCAGTTTGAAAAATTCTTGCCTAATACCGTCAAAATTGGCCTTCCTCCAATTTAGAACTTTAACTTTTAGATCTGGCTCATCCCTTCCAATCATTATTTTAAAACTAATAGAATTATGGTCACTAGCCCCAAAGTGCACCACCACTGACACCTCAGTCACCTGCTCTGCCTTATTTCCCAAGAGTGGGTCAAGTTTTGCACCTTCTCTAGTAGGTACATCCAGAATCAGAAAATTTTCTTGTGCACTCTTAACAAATTCCTCTCTAGCCAAGCCCTTAACACTATGGCAGTCCCAGCCTATGTTTGGAAAGTTAAAATCCCCTACCATTACACCCGATTATTCTTACAGATAATGGCAAAGAGAACAGAAAGTACTTCTCCACATTCCACAAGCACAATATAGTAGGCTGGAGACCTGGATTCCTGTCACCCTCCAATGATATCCTGTCCTGCAGCAAATAAGCTAAAGTGAAGGGTCCATTTGATTATATTAATTTACCAGCAGAATAAGACTCAGCCCTCAAAACGAACCAGACCTCCTGTTGCAGACTGAGCAGTAAGCTGGTGCACTGTCTGAGTGGTGTTATCTCCTAAGGCGAGTTAGGAGCCATTTAATTAAGCCAGAGAGTGCCGGGTGGGGGTAGTGTTAGGGACCTAATATCCTTCCACTCCTGTCTCAGTTATTCCTAGGGACAGAAGGTTCATAGATGGCCTTCCTATATCACCACCAGTTGAGATCCTTAAGTGGGCAATCCAGTGGTGGATAGGGGCTTGCTATGCAGGGAGCATGAAAAGTGAATCCTGTCGAGAGTTGTTTGCAGGCTTCCCTTGCCCTTCCCCTTCCTCGCTGCTGACATCACCCACACCAAAATCACCCCCCAAGAAATGTGCCCTGCAAAATCACCTGTTGCCTAGGTCCTTGGGTGGCCCTGGTCCTGGATGTGTGTCTTACTGGCAGAGGCTACAGCTCCTTTTTGCACTGCCATGCACAGCTTTTGATAAACCAGATAGCTCACGGAGGAGGGGGTTGTGGATTCCGCTCCCGGGTTCCTTGGTTCCAATGAAGGCCTAATGATGCCTAATTGACACAATGTGGTGCAACTTCCTGAAAGGAGGCAACAAGGACCTTTCACTGTCTCTTTAGCCAGCAGGTGAAATAGGGATCAAATAAGCAGAAAAGTGTTTATGTGTACATGTGGTTATATCTTGCATTCAGCATGGATCCATCACATGCCAGATGGCACATACTAATCTGTCTTACTATTTTTAAAATAGCCTATCATTTTGTCAGGAATATTTTCTGACTTGTGAACAAAACTTAATAAGCAAGTATGATTAACCTCAAAATTACCCTAGGAGTTTACAGACAGGCAATATTACTTGGGTTTTCCCAACTAGGGCACCTTCCTGTCTGAATTACTTTAACAGTGAGTGAAAAGCGATAGGCCAAGTTAAACACAGATACATTTTAGCAAGTAGAATGGCATCTAGACAGCAGACTACCTGTGAGCAAGGGAGATCCATTAGTTTCGTCATTTAGTATTCTTTCTCAAACAAAATTCTGCTGCTTTCTAACACAAATTCTAATTTAAAAATAGCAGCTGCTGAAAATGCTCAGCAGGTCTGGCAGTATCTGTGGAGAGAGAAAATTCCATCAGTCTGGACCTCTGCTTAGTAATTTATACCTAGCATTTACAAATCTTCCTTTCTTTCACTCTTTCTCTCATTTA